TTTTTTAGGCCCAAATGCAACTCTACACCCAGCTACAGTATGTTTCTATTTCTTCATGAACGAATCCATTCCACTTGGGAGAATACTCAAAACACTAAAAGTCCACTCCGGGTTTTCCTGGTGACGCACAGCACTTCATGCTGTTTCCCCAAGGAGGTCACTTGACAGGGCAGGGGGAGGAGGGGGAGACACCTCTGTGTTGTGCACTACCTTAGCGCCACGCTAGTGCGGGCAGTTGTTGACGTGTGTGTGTGTGGGGGGGGGGGGTGTCAGCATTGTGTGCCATGCTCTCATAGTTACTGAATCAAGTGTTTACTTATGTAGGTAAATGGTAAATTGTCTGTACTTATATAGTGACTTTCTATCTTATGCAGATACTCAAAGCGTTTACACTACAATCTGTGCCTCATTCACCCATTCATACACCGATGGGACACACATCGGAGGAATTTAGGGGTTCAGTGTCTTGCCCAGGGACACTTCAGCATGTGACTGCTGGTAGATTTGAACCCCCAACTCTTGCATTGGAGGATGACTGCTAAAACCACTCAACCACAGCCGCCCCCATAGGTAAACGTAGATGTTTAATAACCTGTTAAAATACACCAGAATGCGTGAAATGGCATCTACTTTGTACTTTACTCAAATTTTTCTGGAGGAGGACCCCCAGACCTCCACCCACCCCACCCCCCACAAATGCTTCTGACACCCTTGCATGAAACAGGACAAAACACAAGAAGAGAACGACTGAAAAAGAGAAGACTTGAAGTGTTGCAACGGTCCAGTGAGAGCTGAACGTGAGGAGCGCTGAGCAGAAAGTTCACTGACTCAAAGCTCCGTTGTACAAACAGCTGGAGCAAAACTCACTTCTGTACGCCAACATCAACTTCATCAAGTCGCTGACACGATGAAGTCTTTTGGCTGCAAGACGAAACGTTTCAACAGAAACAAACCATCCAGAGGACCTGACTTAACTTTGTTGGATTTTTTACCCGAATTATTATTAATGTTTTCTGTTTGACTGATAAAGAAAACAACCACTGAGAGTTACTGCCGGTGAAGAGAAGATGCTGAATCATGGGAAGTACATGATCCACATCTTTATCACTTGCACTTTGTTTTTGTTGAGCAAATAATGAAACGGTGGAAGCTGTTGTGTGTTTTGTTAACTGCAGTTTGATTTAAACCATTTCAGAAACCAGTAAAGACCAGATTATGTTTAAGTTCTGATACATAAAACCCTAGTTCTGACAGAGTGCACTTTCTTTCTTTTCCCCAGGACCACACGTTTATCGTCAGCAGTGATTGTTGTCTTTACATCTTTGTCAAGACGAGAGCATTGTAGTCTCTGAAATGTTGAAACCAGCCTGCAGCACTTCACCCTTCAGCTCCGTGCGCACACAGCGCCTCAGGATTTGTTTCACATCAGCCGAACACTCGGTGTGCTGAAGTCTTGTTTCATCAGGAAGCTGTGAAACACCATGCGAGTCAAAATAATCAGGGTTTTTTCTGCAGACTTGAAGAACAAGAGCTGCAGATAAGTGAGAGAGACGCGGCCTTCGCCCTCGGCCTGGTGTTTACTGGAGCTCTGGATCTGAGTGGAGCTCTAATGAGGAGCAGACGAGGCCAAGAGAAAAACAGCGGCTCGCCTCTGGAATGTCTTGGTTTTGTTGAGCTCAACTCAACTGAACGCAAAAAAAACCCCCTTTTCGTCAGTTTTTACTGGCGTCTAGAGGCTTTTACTGCTTCAGAAAGAGTTTGATTTGTATCTTCACAGTAAGGGCAGGGAGCTCCAGATGTGCTGCGGAGTTGATGTTCCATGTTTTTTTTTTCTTCTTCTTTTAAAGGCGTTCCACAATAACTCTTTCAAACATGGACAAAACCATTCAGCAAACAAGAAAACCTTTCGGGAACCCGTATTTGTTGGACGTAAAACCTGATCTGAGCTGCAGACAGGCCTCCTGGGTAACGATCATGGTGTTTGTGTCTTACCTCCAGCTCGCTCTCCCAGCGGTTGATGCCATCTGTAGACTGGTTCAACTTTTCCAGTTCTCCCTGTTTACAGAAAATACAAGATGAGGACAGACGGGGAGGAAGGGAGTTATACTGGCACAGCTCAGACACAGCTCTCTGTTTAATGACACTATAATATGAGTAAGCTGGGTGTTGCTGTGACAAACACCTAGATGTTTTTCTTCTGAGCATTTCACAGCATTCAGCTGAGAGTTGTATTGTGTTTACAGGTATTACAGTCTCTCATCTGTCACTGGTTTGTATAAATGTATGAACAAGTTGTCAGAAACCATGTTTTATTCTAACTTCACTGTTTATTTAGTCCCACCTGGATTCTAGGGTCCACTTCTTCTTCCTCCTGAGGACCCTCCTCATCCTCGCAGTTATTCCCACTCCCGTCCATGTTTTTGAAACAATCTTCAGATGTGCAGTTTTCCAGCACTCCTCACGTGCACACAATCCTCTGAGCTTCACACGGAGCCCCGCATGACCGAACAGACCCACTCCGACCCCGAGCAGAACAGAAAGTAAAGGACGTGGGCACTGACGAGCTGTGGGAGATGGAAGTCATCAATATTCAGCAATAAGATTAGCTACTTCCTGTCTTGCCCTTTCAAAATAAAAAATAGACGATAAAGGGACAAATGGATGGATGATGGATGGATGGATGGATGGATGGATGGATGGATGGATGGATGGATGATGGATGGATGGATGGATGGATGGATGGATGGATGGATGGATGGATGGATGGATGGATGGATGGATGGAGCTGTATTTGCAAATAATAGAAAATATATACAGTTTTTTTTAGCCGTTTTATATTTGAAGTAAAGTTCCCTAGAGGTTCTAAAGTACTCCCAAACTCCTCCACTGAGGGCAACGGCCACCCCTATGAATAAATAATATTTATAAAATAATTAAATAGAAGGTGATTCGTTTACTTTCATACTACAATATTTCTCAAAATGCCTACTGTATATAACAAGGGCAGCATGGCGGTGCAGTTGGTAGAGCTGCTGCCTCTCAGCGCGCATGTCCCTGGTTCAAATCCCGGTCCAGGGGCCTTTCTGGGTGGAGTTCGCATGTTCTCTCCGTGCATGTGTGGGTTTTTTCCGGGTACTCCAGTTTCCTCCCACAGACCAAAAACATGCATGTTAGGCTGATTGGTAACTCTGAATTGTCCCTAGGTGTGAGTGTGGTGTAAGTGTCCCCACTTCTCGCACAGTGATGGCTGGACATAGGTACTGTCTGGCGACCCCTGCAACCCAAAAAGGAAGAAGCGGGTAAAGATAATGCATGGATGGATGGATGGATGGATGGATGGATGGATAGATGGATGGATATAACAACAGCATTTATTTTAGTTGTTTTTGTTTTTTAGTGTGCCACTCCAGAAGATTGTCGTGGCCCCCATTTGGCCACCTAAAGCTTTCTGGATGCGCCCCTGGCGGTTCTTCCATCCTGATGTCATTTGTGAGCAAAAACTCATGAACTCCTCAAGTCGAGGTAAAGACACAAGCAACAAAACAACTCTTAATAAACACTCTCTGTTTGGGCTTTTTCTTTCTCAATTTAATTTGTGGATTATTTTTGATCACCATAGTAATTTATTTGATTCTTGGACAATAGTACAATTCCAGATTATGGATCTTTATTTTCCCTTTACTTCCTCTCCCCAGCTCTTATTTTGAAGTGAACCTTTTAGGAAGAGGAATTGTCTCCAACTTACAGAGCTTTCAGTCCTGGGAGCTTTGGGTGGTTTCTCTTCGCCATCTGGTGGCCATTCATGCGCAGGGAGGGGTCAGGCACATGGATGGATTCCTGGAAACACTCTGTGCAGAGGGGTTTCTCATGAAGTGGTTCCCAGCAAGCTGAGGGAAAATGTCTCATTCTGGGTCTGTGTGTGTCACCAAGTAACTCAAGAAACCAGGAACATTATTCCAGACGCACTGGTCAATATATAAAAATAAACAAGTGAAACTAGAACTATGTGCATTTCCTGTGAAAATGCAGCATGAATTGCTGAATGATTTTGCTGAAAGCTGAAACCAAGTTGTAAATTTTCAGTTGCCGAACTGTCACAACTTGTTTCATATGAACAGTTGACGATGTAGCCAAAAATATTTGAACGATTAGCGGAAACACTAGCAAATAGCAAGAAAAAGATAAATAATGGTCAAAGTTGCAAAAAAAGCAGCCAAAGTAGCGAAAAGCTAGCGCACTCCCCCCACCCGAAAAGGCTAGTTAGGGGCAGCTGTGGATGAGTGGTTAAAGCAATTGTCCTCCAATGAGAGAGTTGGGGGTTCAATTCCACCATCAGTCACATGTCGAAGTGTCCCTGGGAAGACACTGAACCCCTCATAGCCTCTGATGTGTGTCCCATCAGTGTATGAATGTGATCAAGCTCTGATTAGTCTCTTTGGAATGATTTGATCAATTAGCTTTGTAGAGATGTAGAAAGAGTGGCACGGTGGAACCGCTGCTGCCTCTCAGCGAGCAGGTCCCCGGTACAAATCCCGGTCTGGGGACCTTTCTGGGTGGAGTTTGCATGTTCCGTCTGTGCTGTGTAGGTTTTCTCCAGGTACTTCGGTTTCCTCCCACAGACCAAAAACATGCATGTTAGACTGGTAACTCTAAATTGTCCCTAGGTGAGAGAGAGAATGGTTGTTTGTCTCGTTTGTCTCTATGTGTCCCTGTGATGGACTGGAGACTTGTCCAAGGTGTCCCCCACCCCTCGCACAATGGTGGCTGGATATGGGCACCAGTGACCCCCGCAATCTGAAAAGGAAGAAGAGGGTAAAGGATAATGGCTGGATGGTTGGAGATCTAGTAGAGTGCTGTATGAATGTGTTGTGGAGGTAAATGAGGTACAGATTGTAGTGTAAAGAGCGTTGAACATCGTGATTAGATAGAAAGGTGCTATAGAAGTACAGTCCATTTACTATTAGTTTAGAGCCAAAAGTATCAAAATGTTAGCAAAAAGCAGGACCAAGCCAACTTGAAGCTAAAGCGAAACATCTGGATAAAGCTACAGCTTAGTCAGAAGTAGTGAAATGCAAGAAAATAGCAGGAAAATGCTAACTAAGAGCCACATGTGTGCTGATTAGGCATAAAGGTGAAACACAATAGTGGTGCCATTAGCTAAAAACTTCCAAAATTAGCCAAAAAAAAGAAAAAAATAGTTGAAAAGGAGAAAAGGCAAAAAAAAAAATTAATTAGCAAAAGAAAGCAGAATGAACATGTTAGCTTAATTAGGCTGAAAGAAGCAGAAATGAGAATTAAAAAAAAAGTGAAATTACATGAAAAAAGCTGCAATATGCAAATAAATATATGTGAAAGTAGCTGAAAAAAGCTACAAAAATAACTGAAATTAGTATAAGCTTAAAGGAACATTAAAAGCTGACGTGACAAGCAAGAGCACAAAAGAGCAGAAAAATGCTTGAAATTGTGAGGATGGTACTCTTCCTGTGTCGTAGCGTCTCTCATTGATTGTTGGCCTGATTGGTTCCACCTGTGTGTCCTCCAGCTGTTTGTAATTAGACCCTGTCTTGTCTGTGAGTCCTGTTCAGTGTCCGTCCATCGTCTGGTGTCCTCCTGTGTTCCCTGAGATTTCCACGACCTGTTTACCATGTCAGCCTGTTCATTTATTATTATTATTATTATTATTAAAGTATTTATTACATTTCATTCAACCTTTATTTATACAGGTTAATCCCATTGAGCCCCGGGGACTCATTTACAAGAGACCTGATTTTAACAAAGAGTGATGACAACAAGGACAGCAATAGACAGTCATGAAGGATGCATATAAATTTATAAATTTTTAACAGATGAAAATAAAATGGTAAAAAAAAAAAACCAGCTAGGTTGTAAGGCGGTGTAGAAAACTAAAAACAGGAACATGTCTGCATTGGTTTTTCTCAGGAACTTAACAGAGATTTCAAACCACTTAAAGACGTCAAGGTCGAGAGCTTCAGATGTTTTTGCAAGATATTCCAGGAAACAGGAGCGGAGTAGGAGAAGGTCTCCGAGTCCTGCCTGCACCATTGGGTTCTTTCCTGCTCTGCTCTGCCTGAAACCCTGACAGAAATTATTTGAAAATAGCTGAGCATAGCTAAAGTAGCACAAGAAAGCTGAAAGAAGCTGAAGCAGAACAAAATGTGAAAGGAGCAATAAAAGGTTTTAAACAGATGTAACGATCTGAAGGACGTAAAATGAGCTCAATTCATTTTTTATGAGGAAAAAGTGACAGAAAAAGCTAAATATTTCAAAAAGCTAAAGTTGCACCAATACTAGTCATAACTAGAGTGTCTTGAATGATTGCTTAATAAACATTTTTAATAATAAAGAGAAACAGGAAAACGAACCAATAATGAAAACATTTTACATCTAAGAACATCAGATGATCAATAGACCGGGAAAAATGCAACAGTACAGGAATAGTCTGATTTTTGAAGTCATGTTTTTAAAGTTATCAGCTGACATCAGTCATCGAGGCATGGAGAAAAGGCTAACGGCTAGCCAAATGTTTTTTAATCTATGTTTTTTCTTTAAATCATACTGGTGTGAAATAAAGCTGTAATGTGCATGCACTGCATTCTTCTTCCAATATCAAACCTGAAGACACAGTCTGTTTAATGTTGCATTCTTATACACCGCCACGTCCTTTTGGAAAAACTTGCTTCATAAGTCTGAACAGGGATAAAACTGGTCCCATGTTTCGCTGCATGAGCCTGCACTGGATGAAGACTTTAGACACCACAGCTCTTATGGTACTATTAGACAGATTACCACTTAATCAGATAATCCCATTTTTCAGTCTGAACCTCACTGTGGCCCAAAAACATCTACAGTGGGTTAGACAAGGCCCACGGACCATCACTTGATGATCACTGGTTTGTAGTTTTAATGATCTTTTACGAGATTTTTGTCTCTTTTGTGTTTTAGAGCTGTTTTAAGGAACATGCTTTTGTAGTTCATTAAAGAATAAACATAAAAACGTGACTTTTTTTGTTTTAAACCTCTTGTTTTTCTCCTCCGTCAGTTCTCTGTCCACCTCCACGGTGTCATCAGGTTCAGATGTTGCTGTCGGTGAAAAGTTGCCTCAGATGTGGACGGGCCGGCCTCTCTGCTCGTCATCGCGTTGACTTTTATTTATTAATTTTTCCTTCCTGCGTCTGCATATCTGCGACCGACGGGCTGATTTCATAACGCAGGGAGGAGGAGGAGGAGAGGGTTGGTGCTGTGAGGACGGATGAACGCAGTCTCCGCTCGGCTTCAGTTCTCTCTCCCCTCCCGGAGCATCCAGGGAAGATGCGGTGCTGATGCTGATGCTGATGCTGGTTGCGTCTTGAGCATCATCGCCCCGACGGCCAGAGCGAAAGACACGGATCGATCTCCGGAGCCAGGGAACGCAAGCGGAGAGGCTCGCGCAGGATGGAGTTCAAGCACCTGGTGGAGGCGGCGGAGAAGTGGTGCTCCGGGAACCCGTTCGACCTCATCTTCGCTGAGGAGACGGACGAGAGGCGGCTGGACTTTTACGCGGAGCCCGGGGTGTCTTTCTATGTGCTGTGTCCCGGAGAGACCGACAGCTTTGTGAGTGCAGCTTCAGCAGGCCTCTCACTTGTGTGCGCGCGTGCGTGTGTTGGAGGTGGGGTTGTCCCGGTTGGTTCCGGTTTTCTCGCAGATGGACGTGTGGGATAAGATGTGATGTAATCTCACTTTCTCCCGACGTGCGTGTGATCATGTTTTTATCTCCCAGTCGTTTGTTACCTGCCAGTTTATAAACACAAGGCCTGAAACTTAAAGGGATAGTTCGGCCTTCTACAGAAAGGGGTCTCTAATGTAAGTGAGCAAAGAATATCTTACCTGTTGTAGATGACTATTAAAATGACCTCACTTTGGAGAAATACTTTAATTCTGACCGGATTGATGAGCTAACGGCTGGTCTGAGCTATAGGGATGGGGCCGATCCGATCCAGTATCGGTATCAACCTCCAATACCAGCATAATTTACGTATCGGATTTTTTTGATCCTCCTGCCGATATATCTGATCCATGATGCATGTTGGCTTCAAACTATGGAAAGGATTTCCTGAACGGCGGCGTGTCTCATGAGCCCAGAGTAATAAGAGCCGCCTCACATTCAGGAAATCCAGTTCATAGTTTGCAGCCAACTACAACGTGAGGACTGAGTTAGCAGCACTGTGGCTAACAGCTAACAAACTTTTTATCTAAACATGTCCGCTGTGTGGAAGTATTTTACACTAGAAACACCACAAGACAAGACAGCATCGTGCAATGTCTGCAGAGCCATAGCGCCACATTAAACCACGGGAAAGTTGGTTTTACGATGGACATTCGAGCTCCATGGCTTCAGTGGTCTGTTATTTTTCGTTCAGTCCGGAGAAGGCAGCCTGATTTCGGTCAGCCACGCTCAGTCTGTCCGTGTCGGAGGAGGGGCAGACTGAACACTGCTGACCGAGATCAGACTGCCTGCTGCAGATTGAACAAGAAGAAGACATTGCTGGAGCCACAGAGCTCAAATGTTTACAGAGAAGTTTCTAAACTTCATCATAATTAATGACCAACCACTATCAG